TACAAACATTCATGGGGGGGGTGGGGGGGCATGACATTGAATGCTGAACAAACTTTTAACATAATGTAAGGTTTTTTTGGGGGGTTAGATCACGTAAATATGAATGTGTCGTTGAACCCGCCACCACCCGACACAGCCAATTAGTAAGCTTGTGTCACGTCAACAGAACGTGGCCAATTCGTTACTAGTGCAGCACACCGGTGCGTTGGAGAGCAAACCCCACAACGTTTACAATCCGAGTGCGACGTTTCGCCAGTGATTACAACCGGTGATTACAACCAGTGATTACAGACAGATTTCAACAAATATCAAATGCTAAACATAATGAGTAATTATGCTGTCTTTTGTCGATTAAGCATTCTTCTCTGGCTCTCGCCCCCCCCGTGTGTATAAGGAAATGCTGTGACGCCCATCACTTAACTGCCACTGGCATTAAATATTGTAACCAACGTCTCATTTCCCTATAAGAATTTAGAAAGGGGGGGGGGCGGGGGCTGAGTCTTCAGCAGTGGGAGGTAGGGGGGCTTCAGCTCCCGCCAGCGCCCCCCCCCTACTCTACATGGAATGGTTCTCTCCGTGTGCGCTACAGTGTATTGAGAAGGCAGTCGCATTTATACGCTCCGTCAATCCTAATTGTTTTGTAGCGCGTGTGCATCTGTTGCTCCCGTCATTAGGCCGCACGGTGTTTGTTCTCAGAACCATCGTCGTTTACTCAATGACTGTGGGAGGTCACACGGCAGGGGGTGGGCAACCGTGGGCCAAAACAGACTTTTCAAGTACCTTTGGCGGGCAAGCATACACACGAACACAAAGCTGAGCATTATCCGTCGAGAACAAAATAACGCCAAACTTTACTGGCTGCGCTAAAATGATAAATGGCGTTGGCAGCTCGAAAATATTCCCCCATAGTACCTGATTAGTGCCGCAGAGATGCCCGCGCCGATAGTTTTAAGGCCATTTCACGATCGGCCTCTCACGACAGGCCTCGTGTAATAAGGCTCACACGACCACAAGCCGTATGAAATGTCGCGGGGTCGTACCCGCCCCGCAGGCTGTAGGGTTTCCCCTGCTGTACAGCGAAGTATACCGCTGACCTTTAGCTACGTTACGGCATTTTCATTAGCGTCGTTGGGGGACAGCGTTAACGTCACCGGCTGAATCCGTGCCCCACCACGTGTGCGCGTGCCTGGTGCGCGAGTGTACGCAGGATGTGATGGTGAAAAACGACAGCCCGTGTGGCAGCACCATCGGACCCATCCTGTCCGCTCGTTTGGGCATGCGCGTGCTCGACATTGGGGCGCCGCAGCTCTCCATGCACTCCATACGCGAGATGTGCAGCACCTCGGACGTGCTGCTCAGCATCCAGCTGTTCCACGTACGCACGCAACACGCGACACGCGCTCGCCTGCCTGGGCTCGCGTGCACGGTTGCCACCTCTTGTGCCTGGTGCGCGAGCGCACGCGGGTGGCAACCTCTTGAGGCGGCAACAACGACAAATAACATGTCGTGGGAGGAATATCGGAAAAGGTGGATCACGCCGGAAGAGGGGAGAATGGCATCCGAGTGTGCTCTAAACACAGGGACTTTAAATGTCCTGGGGAGGCTCTTAGATTTCCCAGGACAAGCAGCTACTTGAAAAATAAACTCGTTGAAACAAGTTTTTTTTTTTTAAACAACGGTTTTATTTTAAAGTGCACTAAAAAGTAAATAACTAGATTGGACAACAGGAAGTAGACTACATTTTTATTACAAAATTAGACCACGACAAACATAGGAGTCAAGTTAAGTTAAAACCGTTGAAGAAAAAAGAGGACGATCATGGGGAAAAAAAAACTAGAACAGGTGGTAACTGTACTTGCAGTCCTAGAGCTTTGCAGATTTTGGCTTTAAGCAAGTGGAGGAACTTTTTTTTCATGGCCACGAGGTGATCGGCAAGTCGTGTCGCACTCCCACTTGACCATAATGAAAAGATCCCAATACAGGGCCCTCACGAGAAAGTTATGACTCGGCAATACTTTTATATATATTCGTGATGAAATTGGAATTGTGAAATCGCCGCCAATTGTCGTTAGGTATAAACTGCAAACGTTTGTGTAGGCGTTATATTTGTTGTAATAATTAAAATGCATCTTTTAAGAGTACCAGAGTTGGGCCACGTGGGTGGTTCAGAGGTCAAGAGCACAGAGCTGGCATTGGTCACAATCAGTTTCAAATTTGCACTGGCACCTTACTGGGCAAAGACCCCAGGGCCTGCCCAGGACACGCTGGTGGGACTATGTAGCTCGGCTGGCCAGGAAATTCCCCAGGAAGAGTCCGTCACCAGGGAAAAGGAGGGCTGGACCGCCCTTCTCAACACGCTGCTGCCGCGACCCTCACCAGGACAAGCGGACTGAGAAATGAACGAATGAACCTGACCTGTGATTTCTATGGAGTTTGTAAGTGTAGCGAGTTGATCTCAGTTTGGTCACCGTTGGACCAGTTTTTTTCATTAATTTGGATACGTTTTGGCTGATGACAAAATGTATCTCTTTTGAATGTTGTGCAACACTTTTCTGACTACGGCATTTGGGACAGTTGTGCCAGTGTGGATAAAAAAAAAAATCAAATTTGCCATTATCTCTAAAGGCAATCTGTGAATTGTTCTTTCTGCAGATCATTCTCGTATACAGGTTTACACTGCTCAGTTAAAGTTTATCTTGGATTCTTGGTCTCGTGACAGTGATGTCGAAATAAAATTTGGAACAAGCAGAAAAAAAGGTATACTGCAGATTAAGGATGCTGCCGTGATGTCATGGTTAGCACACTGGAACTTGAAATCCAAAGGTCGTCACGGGAACTTTCAATCAAAAGGTTTCTTAAAATCCCACCCACCCGTCCACCCAGCGGGTAGAATCATAATCGTTTAGTATAAATGGGTGCATCAGTTAGTCGATCGGTAGCTTGCTTGTGGTTGGGCAAAGTGTGGGTATTTTCACGACCTTCCAGGATATCTGGCCAGCATGAAAGAGTAGGCCTAAGTACCTTTGAGAGGGGCCCTCGAAGAGACCTTTCGAAAGCCTGCAGTGGCTTGAACAAACCTTTGAAGTGCTGCAAATTTAAGTTCTGCTGTGTGTGTGTAATCCATTGTTTTTTTTGTGCTGCAGGCCTTTTTTGAGCATTTCCCCTCTGTGAATGCCTCCCTGGTCGTGGACTGAGATGGCAAGTTTGGACTGCGAAGGGTGCCGTGTTGGAAAACAAGTCGCCCGCATCCCATGAACAAAAGCCCTTCTTCGAGACTTAATCTGCCCTGAGATTCTTGCTATTTATCACTTGGCAACGAAAACTGGTGCTTTACAATACGTTTCTTCCAAATATAAAAAAACGTTACTTAATTTGTTAATTAAGTTGTCATTGTGTGAAAACCAGCATGTTGTTAAAATGCAAAACTACATCGACTTGTAAGTGGGACTAAACATTGATATGACTTTAATAAAACCAAATCATGTTCTGTTACCCTCCGATTCATTCAAATGTTTTCACACAGCAGTTGGCCTTTCCCCCGCACCTCCGATTAGTACAGTTGGCTGCGTACGGTGCAAAATAATAAGTTATTCACACGTACGAGACATCACTTCCATTTAACACTACCCTCATACCCTTCTCTGCCACAGAGTATTAATGAACCAAAAACACTGGGTTGTCAACTGCAATTTATTTTGACAATAGATTTTAATAGAATAACTTTTTTCCTCCAAACATTGACATTTTAATTTTCTTCATACATGAAAAAAATAAACACTTTCTTTGGCACTTGCTGATTGATATTTACTGTGTGGTTGTGTTTCCGATTGATTTAATTTTAGGATAATTATTCAAGAGATAGGGGTGGAACTGGTGCGGTGGTTAGCGCTCTGCGCCATTAACCCAACGAGCTGAGTTCGATTCTTAGCCATGGATATCGGTGGACGAGTGGTATCTGAACTCGTCCTGGGCTGCCAGGACCAGTATGGTGAAGTATGTTCAAACAACCCCCATGATCGGTGTGATATGTGGAGAACAGCATCCAGCAGTGGACTGGCTTAGTGATGTAAATTATTTCATGATTATTAATCAAGATATATATTATTTATTTTAAAATTACATTTAAGGTGGCAATTCACCGTCCAACTCGGCAAAACTAAACGTTATGGTAAATTCGAGGAAAAGCATGCTGAAAAATATAGCTTGCATCAAATGATCTGTAGCAAACGGAATATACCTGCTATAATCACCCAGGAATGTCCTTAACGCTCGTGACGTCACTCCACATTGACTAGCCCCCCTCATTAATATTCATGAGGTGACGTTCTCCAAATGAACACCCCCCACCCCTCAATAATCATGAGTGGGTGACGTCACTCAATATGGAGTACTCCCCCCCCCCCGCACGAATAATGCGCAAGTGACGTCATTCCACATCGAACAGCCCCCATTAATAATCATGAGCAAGTGACGTCCTCCAAATGGACACACACCCCCAACCCCCCTATTCATAATTAGCGGGTGACGTCACTCCACATGGGGGGCCGAGGCGCCTCCTCCCCCCTCTCGGCGTCAACTGACAACCCTCACTACAAAGGCAGAACCCTCACGTCACGTGATCTCTGTAACGCTGTTGAGACATCAAAGTAAGGACGTCAGGATGAACAAGGGTTTATAACCTTTAAATGAAATAGGTCTGTGTCAACGCGCCCTTACAAATTGCACACGCATTAATGCAATGAATATCACCTTGCAGTCTGATTTTCGCTTGCAAGTTTTAGATTAACTGCAATACACCCGCTCTTGGATGGGCAAAAGGCTATATTTCAATACTGAGGTACAATCATGCCCCCTATGTGCCTTTTGTATGTTTGCTAAGCAGGCGTGCCGCACAATGATTTTTCACATATGATCTTACATTTCACAAGGTATCGTAGCGATATTAGTTTTCCATAACTTTGCAAATTGTACTTTGCAATGGTATTGTTTGATTTCATTTGTGTTTTTGCTGTACTTCCAGTACGAAGATTACAGTGCTTATATTTTTCTGCAACTGCAGTTCACTCAATCCTGCCATAAGTCTCCTATTTGCAACTTTACAATATATAATACGTAAAACGTGCACTTCGTCAGTCGCACGAGAAATAAATAATTACAATAACTATGAAAATGATGAATTCATATAATCGCCAAGTTGTGAAATTGCTCTAAAACATTTGACAAAGTGGTAATTTAATGGATAATAGCTGTGTATTTACATAATTGAGTTAATAATTTTATACATTTACATGAGAACATTTTATATTTAATTAAAATAAAATTAGCAACAATTGCGACAGAACGATATTTAGGAAGAGAACGACATGATTCTCATGGATTTTAGAATCGTACTTATTAACAGCATGCCATATGCCTACTGTTGCCATCTTCACGTTAAGACCAATTTTCACTACTTCGTGGAACCAGCAAATCGTACAAACAATTATTGTCTTCATTATTAAAGTAGTAAAGGCCAAAGGTGCTGATGATATCGTCCAACTTTCCTTGCCAAAAAACACGAAGCACTGAAAACTCTTTTGGAATAAGCATGGCAATCATCGCCCTCAACTGCGAAGACTCGGCAGAACGACCCTCCTGAGCGAATCGTGAGACTCTGCGAGTCTTTCCTGGGTAAACAAACAGCATAAGAATAGTTTCTTTGTGACTGCGCTGCAGTTCCACTTGATTATATGTGATTCATGATTTGCTTGAAGTTTTTAAAAACCTAAGTCAACCATAACCAGGTCGCGGCTTTGAGTTAAACTGTTAATATCATTTACGCTGGATGATTTCTCCTTGGCTTTCAATTCTGCAGGTGGTGCATTTAGCGAGCCTTCAAGCGCCGTCGCAGAAGTTGTGATTATTCATTTTCGGCTCTCATCCATTTCCTTTCTCTATTTCGTGTGAAGAATCCCGTCGGTCACGCTCCTGGTCTCTTTTTAACCTCGTGCAATTGTAGAGTCTGTCGACGTCATTCTCCAGCTCCACGACCTTACTCAAAATGTTTTCCATCAGCACCGCAATGGTGCTCTTTAGGTCTGTTGCGACAAATGGTACAGAGAAAATTATTGCTTCCGACAAATTATTTTTTACACACGAGCAAACATCATTTTCCGCTCAAGTCAATGACTAAATTAACCCAATCGCCGTAAACAAGTCTGGTTATCGTCAGATCTCGGAAGCCGAGTTGAGCGTGGGTTAGTACTCGGATGGGGGAACTGCATGGGAATATACCAAGTGTTGTGCACTTGGGCTGCGAGATAGTGGTAGGATGACGGCAGAGCAATGTATTTTTGGAAAGTTGTTGCAGTGTTACCGGCCCCCTCGCATGCATGAATAGAACTGGCCAAACATGCTGATCCAGGAAGAAACTCAAAATGAGTGAGAGCTAAGCTTTCCCGAGTCCTATATATACACATTATGGCGGGACCCTGGGGTCCCATAAGCCCCCAGGGCTGTAACTGCGTTGCGACGTCATTTTATGTCCGCTGAAGGCGAACGATACGGAAATCTATTCCTCTCGACGAGCTCTACACGATCCGCTAATCAAAGTTTTGCTTCTGCGCATTCGTGCTCTCTGCGCTTGGACATGACAACAGAATGATCCGCGCCAGGTGGGTTGCAGCGTTTGTGTGCGCGGTGGGATGGAGTTGCCAAAAATAAATAAATAACGATTTTTCCCCCCCCCCCCGTTTATTTGGGACACCGGGCTCCCGCCATAAGGTTCATGTCATTTAAAAAAGGTTTTCATTATCTTTTGTTTAATTTAGCTCCGTTGTACAGATGTTATTTATCAAGGCAAAAAACAACCGTCAATTGAGTTAAAGTATACAACTTGTTGTTTTTGCACAAGCACGGCACGGTTCTGCACAGTTGAATTTGAAAAATGTGTGTAGATACTTATTGCGTGAAGTACTGCGTGGGTTGTACTGGGTTCGTTAGTGGTCTGAAACTCGCAAAAGCCACGTTGATCCCAGAACGATGATGGCCCGAGTTAATCCCCAAACAGGATTTGAACTCGCAACCTGATTGCGAGCCACTCCCAATTGTAAGTCTTCATTGTATGTAATTATAGCTAGATTAGAGCCAATAACATAATTATGGAAAGTATGCATATAAATTCATCTTTTACCCATTAACTCTTCAATTAACTGCTGTTCAAAACAATATATCGAACGTTAAAATCCCCCCCCAAACGATAACGCATCGCAGGATGGTGGGGAGGCCTTCATCCAGCAGTGGATTGACCACGACTAATGATACATTTATAACTATTGTGATAAAAATGGAATTTCAGTAATTTTCAGCAATATGCCAGGATTCGCTACACGTCAGCCACAAAAAATGACCGCTCACATTGCACAATTTGCCAAGGTTATTGTATTTTTAATACTTCGGCTTATGCCACCCTCTGTATGGAAACATTGCAGTTTCGTTAAGTAATAATTAAAATAACCTTTTTAACATGGACCTTATTTTAATTGGGTAAGAATCCAAGGATGTGGCCAAATCATCCAGAATGTGCCCGACCTCATTAGATCATGGAAGCTAAGCAGAATTAAGCCTGGAGAGTGCCTCGGATGAGTGACCGCCATGCATAAAACAGGTTCTGTGGGTTGGTGCAGGGTTACGTTGTCAGCGTAAGCCTGTGCAGAAAAATCCATTGTCATTTACCATGCCCCAATGTCTGTAACATGCCTTTACTAACGTGCACCGACTAGCATTGTTAAACCTCCACAATCTGGCAGTAGATTGACAAAAGAGCTGTGTACATGTACAAGAACCTAATGATGCAAGAAACATTATTTTCAAGGGAGACCTTTTTTTGCATACATAAATTCCACCTTCACAGCATTCAAACGTAGCCCTATTTGACCAATGCCAATAAAAAAAAATACCTTTCAAAGCGTCTGAACTAGAATTTTTAAATGGATTTAGAACTGCGCTGTTACCGCCGACAGCCAAGCGTTTGCGTGTAGTTTCTGCTTTTTTTTTTTGTACATCCCAGGTCGCCACACACCGTGCCCAGATGTCCCCGCAAACACGTCGTCCTTTTCCAGCGTCAATCGGTGCACGTACTCGCGGCTCAGCCGCAGGATCTGCTCGCGCAGCTGCGCCGTGCTCGACTGCCTGGCGCCGCCGTGTTGCCTCAGCGTCACCAGCAGCAGGAGCAGCATCCAAATGACGCCCATGCCGACAAGCACCAGGCCAGTGCGATGGGAACCCAGCCTCCATTGCATTGCCATGGCACCTCACTTCCCCCTTCCTTTCCTGCTTGCCTTCCTGAAGAGGTGGGAATGGATGAGGGGTGTTGGGTAACGATGATGGGTGGGGGCAGTGCAGGCCTGGTTGCGGAGCGTGTTACGTGTCGATTTAGTTTTTAGAAAATAGCTTGCAAACGGAATCTGTGAAGGCCATCGATAAACAGGACTGAAAAAGTTTGGTAAGTGGCAGGGGAGGTCATTCTTTACAAATATCTTGACTAACCGACAACGGCTTTGACAAGCAACAATTTCCCAAGCTTCAGCTGTCGATAAACAGCTTGAGTCAATACTTACAAGATGACATCTTTAGTGGTTACATACACAAGATTGCATCTTGCAGGTTTCCTGAGCGATTAAAAAAAAGAGGAAAAACACTATTGGAAACCCAATTTTGTTTACATGCGACACAGGCGACCCATGCATTTAGTAATTATTACAAGCAGTCCTGCCATGGTGTAATTGTTAGCATGCCGAAGTTTAAATTCAGAGGTCGGCCGGTTCGATCACCTGGCGCAGCAGCTGAAACAATGGGCGAGTTTCTTAAAATCCCCCCCCGCTGCCCGCCTGTCCACCCAGCAGTATGCATGGATACGCCAGAGTTAGTCGATAGGCAGATTTGCCTGTAACGGGGAAAAATGTGGGTTTTCCCACCTCTTGTAAGATGTCTGGCTAGTGTGGAAAGTATCTTAAAACATATCCTCGAGATGAGGTATCCAGAGCTCCCTCCAGTGGAGGCCACTCCTCCAGCAGTGGTGTCAGCAAACACTGGGCCGCACTTTATATATATTTTTTTACAAGCAGTTACCAATGCAGCCAACGCTACTGAACATATGCACCCCGCTCGCACGCCTCCTGCTCTCAAATGTTACTGGAAGACTGCCTTGCTTTGCGGGCACGTTATCTGATGATAGCTTGCTGCGGCGGCGCAACTGTCAGGGTCGAGAGTGAGGTGGGGGCAGTAGGCGGTAATCTGACGGTGAGCTGCCGTGTCCCACGTGGACATTGATTTGAGTTCCTTGGAAAATTACAGTAACCGATTGCCTCACCACAGAGTCGCAGACGACGCAGAAGGGCTTTTATGCGAGGATGTCACGGCACCTGCAAACAAACGCACAACACAAGGGGAAATGAGTAACTCGATAATAAATGTCACGCACGTGTGCAGAGGTCAGGGCCGCAAGCATTTCAGGCGTGCTAGCAAATAATAAACATCCACAATTACGAAGTTTCTGTGGCTTAACAGAGGTGCCTTTTAACACCCAATGCCTTTCCCGGGTGCTTCTTGTCCCAATTAATTTCTCGGTTTCAAGCGAAATATCAAAGTGAAATAACTTAAAATGCACATCTATAATTAAATAAATTAACTTGGTTGGGTTAATAATAACGTAGAAACACCTTTATAGTAATGTGCATGAAGACCCATGTCATTGATTTGCATTCGGTATCAAATCTAAGTTTGATAATTACGCGACAATCTCCATCATCAAAAATATCACTGCCAAAATGTTTGCCGATTGTATGTTTTTATTGCACTTGAATTTTTTGTTGTATTGTTAATTTTAAGGTCTTTGTCAATACATTGTTGGAAGTAGGCCTCCCCATGCAGTTTTAAGAGTAATGAGTGTTGTTTGACCATACTTCACCAGTCAATGTGTGGTTGGTGAAAGAGAAGGGAGAACGACTGCTACATTTGTAGATAACGTCAGATAATTACGTGCAATGGAAACTGCTTTTTCTCGTTGGTACACAAGACCTTTATTATGGATGAAGGGCCCTCACGTTGCGTCGGTCTTGGGAACTTATTTACCGTACTTTACCATGCTTGTCAGTACAAGTTGATGACGGGGGGGGAAAGCGGGCTTGTGCTGGACCAGTTCAGATACCACTCGCCACTGATTTTAGCCGTGGCTGCGAATAAAACTCACGTTGCCCAGTTCAGAGCACAGTGCATGATCTGATTTGCCACCCTTCACCATTTTTGGCTGTATTGAAGTTTAAATGATCATGATATATTCTCTGCTGGATGAAGGCCTCCCACAGCTGGTTGCCATCGACGATCCTGCAATGCAATCTTGCACCAAACACCAGCATCAACAATGTCTAGCGGTGTACTGCAAATGCCCCCAACTACTCTGCATATAAATTCCGCACTGTGTCAAGCGCATATTTAGATAGTGTCGAACATATATATATTGGAGATGTTAAACTCTCAGCCAGCTGGTGTTAATTTGCTTGGATGAGTATGACAATCTAGTAAATGGTTCACATATACATTACTGTAATAAGACCATACAAACAATGTACCCACATGTGTACGGCCCTTTTATCAATCCACTGCTGGATGAGGACCCTCTCTTCGCTATGAGTCACAGGGGTGGCCTGGTGAAGACGGGAATCATAGATGTGGGAACATAGAAACACAGGACAATCATGGATTTGACTAGAATGCTCTCTACTGTCCATACTCACCACCCAGCAGCCGCCTATAACAACCTAGCGGAAATTGTGATTACCAATCCAAAACACTATCCATGTGCAAGCATAGCTTCTGAAATGTGACAAGATCAGGAAAATTGCAAGCGATTTGGTCATATGCATTATACACGAATTATTTAACATGTAAACAATTTTTTTTTTCAAATCCCTCAGGAATTAAGATTTTGACCGACTGGCCTTCATAAAATATTCACAGAAATGACTCTACTTAGGATGTTGCCGTGGTGTAATGTTTAGCACAAGAGACTTCCAATCCAGTGGTCGCCGGCTTCCATAGCCCGGTATGGACGTTGAAGTGACAAGTCGCGTTCCTTAAATCCCCCCACCCGCCTGTCCGCCACACAGCATAAATGGGTACACCAGTCAATGGGCATGTTGCCTGTGGTGGCATAAAATGTGGCTACTCCACCTCTCCCAAGATGGAAGAGTAGGCCAACACTCTCTATAGAGGCTGTGAAGCTTACCGCAGTGGCGTGAGCAAGTATCTTCCTTTACCCTTCCCTCCAAAGGACCATATGAGGCAGAGTCCATTAGGCCCAGGCCAGATATTTCACTTGTCGGTAACACAGAGGTGGCAGAACTTTAGCGGTTCCAATTTCTTTGTGGCCCAGCAACAGTAAATTACGTAATAACCATACGCCAAATGAGGTTATCAAATTAGTCGCTCTTATTAGCTACATACATAAAATTTGGTAAGACTAAAATTGCTACCTCTGGTGGTACCAATTTTTGCTGTGACCCATGGAATGATTGGGGCAGTGCCCGTTTGTGTTTAATTGTCCCACCAGATCACACTTGTGGCTTACTGGTCGGCCCCTCTCAAGAGGCCGGGGAATATTTCTAGGCTGGCGAGGTCTGTGACTTAACGCTACGATGTGCGGCAGAGCTGATGGCGTGGTTTGGTGGCATGGTAAAACAAAATAAGAGAGGAGGCTGATGTTAGTCCTATTGGTGTGGGTCCAAGATTCAACCAGCACAATCGGGGAAAATATTTTTATTATTATGTTGCTTTACTTAGGAGAGCCTCTCTGAGTCACGTGCCCTTTTCAGCAGGGCTTTGCCAAGTTTTTGGCATTAAGGGGGTGATGATTTACATGTTTAATTCCAACTGAATAATTTATGGGTAATTTTTCAAATTTGGCACGTTTTGGACCATGACACCCACACACAAATAGTCTACTCTTGCGAATGACGATCTTTCACGTCCGCTGTGAGTAGGCTGTGCGTAGTTTTACGGTGAAAGCACCCAGTAATAGCCATAGCAGCTTCTGGATTCGAACGTATTTCGTCTCCAACAAAGAGGAACTGTGCTCCGGCTAGGCCATGACAGAATAAACATACAAATATAAACGTATAATAAAATACTATGTACAACAGAATAACAATAGTAAAATAAGAAAAAAAAACGCATTAATCATGTTATAACTTACATGTGTCATTAACACCAGGGCTGGCCTATACGATTATTTAATTAACTGTTTGATTACTTAAATTATTGGATGTCACACGAAAAATAAGTCTCACCCCTGTTCCCATGTGTGCCGCTGGACGGGAGGTGATAGACAGTGCTTGGTAGACGTCATTCGAATCGGCGTCACGATTGATGTGACCCCTCTGGGGTTTCTGGCCGTGGATAAAAAAAAATTTGCGTAAACATCTACAAAAATAGTCATTTACGATTTACGGTTGACTTAATCGACCCAGCTCAAATGACAACAGACGCAACGTTTACCAACTACTGCACCACCCACAGGCTCCGGGTGTTTTTTTTTGGCATGAACTTCACTGGTAAACACATGGATGGCCCTCTTTCCGCCCGTCCGGTTTGGTCAGTTTTGTTCGCTCACGGGTAATGCCAAGGTGCTCAGGGAGTGTTCTTAAATAGACTGGGGAAGCGAAATCCGGGTTCTCAGCGTGCGACTGAAATTAAAATAAGTTTTCCTCCTCTGCGTGCCTTGCTGGGAAATGGGCAAGGCGACAGAGTTCGGATGAAATTTGCGTCTGCGTACATTGAGATCCCAAAAAAAACACTGTGCGTGTTGGAACTTCTTTCGCACCGTGCGTACGAAGCGGGAGGTGCGGAGGGAAGGACAATACACTAAACGGAAAAAAGCCGTTTTAAATAAATTAGTTAAAAAAAAACCCCATCACAATAAACATCATCATCATATACTGTGCTGATCAACAATCTCTCTCCCAGGGTCAATACCAACACACAGCCAAGGATGGAACCACGTCGTGGCGAACACTGCAGCAGTTGGCCTGCCCTACCGCATTATTGTATACCTGGTCCCGTCACAGAAATGCGGAATGGTCACGACCGCTTCAGTACTGGCAAAGGAAAACGGGTGAACGCAATTGACGTTTGGGCGACGTGAACGACGAATAATTTCGGTAGAAAACCACCACGTTGGCCCAATCCAAAACCCGTACGGACCCACTTGGCCAGTTGCTGTTGGATTGTTACGTTGTTGTTGATGTTGTTGTAACCAGGCCGCTATGGCGTAACCCCCCCCCGAACACCGTGGTCATTTATTTCCCCCAAAACATGTTTTTCTTTCTTTCTTCTAAACCTAGGCCAAAACAAATAACCAAAATAAACACGCGGAGCGGTAGTTTCTAACGTAGCCTGGGTTGCAGAGGGCCATGTGAAATAAAATAAAATCGTTCTATCCTCCTCCGCCATACCAGGCACTGACCAGCGTGGTGAAGTATGGCCAAATAGCCCTCCACGTGGATTGACAAACACTCGGCTCTACATACGACAGCGTGTACAGTGTATACGTATTTCTCCACGCTTGCACAAGGGCTATTGCTCGAAACGTCGCCTGTTTACACCCTCGCTTTATTTTCCTTGCCGCGCGCTCACACACACACACTGACACGACGTTACCATTGCCGAACGTGCCGAGTTCCATGTCGCTAATTGTGCAATGTAATAACTCTAGTCAAACTCCGCTATCTTTGAACCAATGTATTCAATGTGCGCGCGCGCGTTATACTCACACAGCAGCGTGCGGCAACTTGTGGACTTTATACAACCGCGGTTGCTCCCGCCGCCGACAATCGCGGCAAGTCGGCGGCTATTAAAGATTAAACACCCGACACGCGCTCATCACACCAATAATAATAATAAACACTCAAACTAAGACGACGACGCCTGTTGTCGCTGCGGTCGAAGCGGCAACGCCGCGCTGCGTGTTGAAGACAAATGACGTCACCGCCCGCTTGGCCCATTACGTCATCACAGGGACCGGCCAATCGGGTTTAAGAGCACCGGTTGTGTTGTGTGCGGTTATGGGAGATCTGCTTCTTCCGGAAGACAGAAAATAACTTCCAGAAGATCGCAGTTACTGCTTCCGGAAGATTGTTTTTTTTTTGCGTAAAAACCTTTCCGGAAGAACGGAAGATGTCTTCCGGAAGCAGGGTGGAACTTCCAGAAGGTAGAACTTCCAGAAGTTTGGTATGCCTTCTTCCGGAAGATAGTTTAACTGAAACTTCTGGGGGATCGGAAGAGGTCTTCCGGAAGAAGGTTAGAGCTTCCAGAAGGAATTCCGAACCTCCAGGAGGAATTTGGAACTTCCAGAAGGAATTCCGAACTTCCAGAAAGCAGAAATTCCAGAAGTAATTCCAAATTCAAACATCCAGAAGTTTGGAATTCCTTCTTCCGTAAGACGTTTTTTGAAGGTTGCGGAAGATCGGAAGGCGTCTTCCGGCAGAGGGTAGAACTTCCACAAGGTAGAACTTCCACAAGGTAGAATTACCAGAAGCAGGAATTCGGAACTTATGGAAGTGTCTACCCTTTTCCGGAAGATGGTTTTGCGGAAGCTTTTGATGCTTCCAGAGGATTCTGAACCGCGTGCTCGTGGTTGTTGACGACACGAGCCACGTGTCTCGTATCCACGTGGGTAAAGGCGCAGCCCTGAAACTTCTGTCACGGATTCATTCTATCCCGCCGAAGGCGCTCTGCGCTTGGTCTAATCATTTTGCGCTGACCAGATGTGGCAAATGCCCACGCTTTTCCCCACCACAGTCGACCTGCCGGTCGACTGTGCACCCATATTCTTTGGGTCTTTCGGTAAAGCCACGTAGATAGTAAAAATAATAACAATATCACGACGTTTCGATCGCAACACAAGCAATCGTCATGAGGTGAACAAAAATATAGCGGAAGAGCTGCTGAGGCAGGAAAAATATGTGGCGGGAGAGCTGCTAAGGCAGGATGTTATCAAGGTTTGAGATGGGTGCAGCCCAAGGGTAAATGGGCGGGGCTAGAGATGAAATTTGCATGCAAATGTAAGATCGGACAGCTGAGCCATACCCACGACGACGAAGCTGTGGGGGTGGCCATTGTATTGTGAGAGATTAGCATGTCAATGTGTAGTGACTGTACTTGTCACTGTGTGGTGCCGGGACTTGCGAAGTCACGGCCTGGTAATGTCATTGCGGGCAGCCTGGGTTGCAGGCTGCAGTACCAACACTAGCGGTGGTTGGGTGAGCGCTGGTTAGCGCTCGGGGGCACCACGAGCAGTGTGGGGTGCCGGCTCCCAGTGAGGGAGCGAGAGCGAGCGTCAGCCAGCCACGGTTACGCTGGGGCATGGTACTCTGGCTGACCTGCTGTCACGCGACCGGACGGTACTGGAGGGGGGCCCACCGGTGGGCGAGGGCCGAGGGGCGGTCACGTGGTCCCGGAGAGCTCTCGGGAACATTCGAGAAGGGGCCCGAGGAGCCTGGAAGGTGGGCGGGGCTAAGGGCGGAGCCAGCCCCAGCCCGGGAGCGTATAACAAGAGCTCCGTGAGGAGCTCGGGGTTCTTCTTCAAGTGTTGGTGTTCGAAGATCCACGTCGGGGAGAAGAAGCCTCTAGCCACGCAGTCCTGGACCCAGCTTGTGGTCCGGACCGGGATAGCGAACCGTGTCTAGTTCTGCCGTAGCGTGGTTAGATGGGCATTCGTCTTGGCAAAATCAATTTAGTGTGTGCCCACAGCGTTAAAACAATGATCACCCACGGCTGAGGTATTGGTCCTACCGTGTTTCAGATCTGCCTTGTGTTCACGAACCCGGTCCAAGACATGTCGCTTAGTTTCCCCAATGTAACTGCTGCCGCAGACACAGCTTAGTTTGTAGACATGTCAGGGATCACATCCTTCACAGATGGGATCAGATCACGAATTTTATGTACTGTGTTGAATCGAACCTGGATCTTGTGTTTGCTCATGATTTTGGAAATATTTTTGGTGACCCCTGCTATGTATGGCAAGGTGATGGTTTTGATTGGGTCCTCAGATGGTTATTTCCCAACGGTTGGGGTGATAGCTTTATGGATTGTGTAGTCTGAATATCCATTCTTCTTGAGGGCTTGGTGTACGTGCTCCAGTTCACTGGTTAGGTGGTGATGGTCGGAAATACAACGAGATCTTTGGTGTAGAATTTTGATGAGGGAATTCTTCTGGGATGGATGGTGGTGGGAGTCAGGTTTTAGGTAGGCATCCGTATGGGTGGCTTTCCTGTAGACAGAGTGTTCCATTGAGCCATCTGGTCTCTTTTCGATTAAAACATCCAAGAATGGTAACTTGCCATCCTTTTCCACCTCCATGGTGAATTTGATGGCTGGGTGTATGGAATTGATGTGGTTGAAGAATTGGTCCAGAGCTGGTAGGCCATGTGGCCAGATGACGAATGTGTCATCTACGTATCTCTTCCACAAGGAAGGACGTAGGGTGGATGCCTGGATGGCATCTGTCTCATAATACAGGCTTTTTGGGTTAGACCGCGGAAATATATAAATGTGTCGTTAAACCCGCCACCACTCGACACAGCCAATTAGTAAGGTTTGTCACATAAACAGAACATACCGATTTGTTTTGAGTACAGCAAAACCGGTGTGTTGGAGAGCCAAGCCACAACATTTACAATCTGAGTACGACGTTTCGCCAGTAATTACAACTAGCTTCATCAGGCAACAGCCAGATTTGTGGATAAATCCTCCTGTTTCGTTCCTTAAATAGAGGCATAGATGTGATGACGTCACTTGTGAACACTTCTTGCGCGAAATGGTTTGGGGAGGATTAATGAATGCATATAAATGACAATGGGTATCTATTGGCGGTTTGATTGTTTATATGGTAATCAACGTACGTTATGCATGCACATTATGCAAGCTTATTACACTTATATTCTTGGTTCTTTCGGTAAAGTCACGTAGGAGGGAAACAATAAAAAAATAAAAAAAATAAAACTATAAAATTCTCACGACGTTTCGACTGAAACACAAGCAATCATCATCAGGTGTGAAAACCACAGCAATAAATTTTGAAAAAGTGGCGGTTTTTTTACGTTAGCACCACGGAGAGCGATTTGGCAGTTTGTTCAAATGGACGAGTCCATCTATGTTCGGAAAAGAGGAGGGGGGAGACGAAAATAATGGATGCGGTCTGAAAGCCACTGTAAGCGTGAACAATCAATTAAGACCCGAAATGGTTTATCAAATCCTTCCAATGATTGCTAAGCCAGAATCCATCTTCTCGGTTGAAATTGTCTCTGTGTTTGTATATGTGGATAGCCTCATGAACGAATCTCTCATGGTAGCCAGATGACTTGCAGAGAACCTCTGTCTTGGAGAAGTCAATGTCATGTGAGCCTACTGAATTATAACAATGATCTTATTACACTTGTACATCCTGTCGATTGTGTGCACTAAAATAGCCGTGCCAACGGTAATCCCAATTCAAGTATGGTGACCTGTATAGGCATGCATTTCAAAATATATATTTGATTATTCGCTTCCTAGCTATCCGAACGGTTAACATTTTTTATTTGTAGCCATTTAATTTATTTTTAAAAGCAATAATATACAGTATCGTACTGTATAAGGTACTAGGGGACGTTTTGGGCAAAGACCCTTTATAACACACGAGGCCAGAGATTGGGTATTATGAGTTCTAGTCTGCACTTTACACCATGGGATCTGATTAAAATCGAATAAAAATGCTTCCTAATGAAAAATTGTAATTGGCATGTTACCTATTATTAGTAGGTATAGAGTAACAAGACAGATCTTTCAATAATCAAACACATTACGAAATAAGCTCATGTTAAAGATAAATGATTAAATATTCCTAACACGTAACATTGTGGGTAACCAAGTTTTCGTTCAACAGAATATGCATGTTGAAGTTCTTTCGTGCCTACGTAGCCAACCGTACTAATCGGAGGTGCAGGGGAAGGTCAACAAACTAAACACATTTTAGCAGCATAACCATTACAGTAACTTAATCTATTTAGTGACGCAATTATGTGACCAATTATTTCCATAGGATGAGAGAGGCTCTTTAAAAGGATCAAAGGGACTTTCAATTGTTTTAATTTCATGAACCTTGCAGGTAGGGTAGATAATTGTATGAGAGCCATTTTACACTCGTTTAATTTGAATGTATTTCGCCCTTGCGATTCAATTTTGCTTTGAATTTTTACATGGCAGCCCGGTAACAGTGAGTTCCACCAAAGCATTATTTACATAATCCACTAAGTGGTGCAGTCCTGAGCCATTGCCCGGACACGTGGCCTATAACACATGTTTCCTTTTAAGGCAGTGTTATTTTAAAAAAAAATGTTGTGGTATTTTATGTATGCACCACTGGCAAAGAACGACAGCACATTATAACCAATTAATTGTACGTTGTACTGCTGGGTCAACAGAGATGCGAGGGGAATTTGAGAAACCTGCCCAAATGTTTCAACCGCATTGCCAGGAGATGTAGGCCCTCTTGGCTGTAAGCCCAATGTGTAAACGACGAGATCACGGCTGTTACGGTCGCACAAGACACAGCAGGTATCAAGCCTCCTTCCCGCGTTTGTCTCTCCACGTATGCAACATCCACGGCTATGTTACGGCTACACGGCAGAAACAAACGCTGTTTTGATAATATTGGTGTGGAAAGTCAATTAATAGGCTAATGTACGGCACTCGAATTCAGTTTGGCGGGTGCGTAGCAAACTGCTCAACCAACTGTTGCAAACACCATTAACCCCAGAACATTTAGAGGAAATTAAATAGATTTACGTTGAAAGATTGGAACTCATGAGTTTTGAAAACCGTTTCCAAAATTTCACGAACGTTAATCAAACCCACGGTTTTCGTAAACCACCGTGCCCTGTGTGCTAAAATGGTAGCTTTAATCATGGGCAATTAACGGCCAAGCAATTAAGTGAATAGTACTAGTCGTGGTGTAACTGTTATACTGAGT